TAGTTTGCAACACTTGCAACGAAAATGCCATAAAATGGTTGTTGCTTTTATGTATATGTATTTGTTTGCCTATTTTTTCCCCTTTGTTATCGACTGGCCATTTTGTATGCTGGCCATTTTGTTTATTATTTATGCAAAAGAGTGGCGGACAAAGTCACATGTGACTGCATACAACAACAACAACAACAACAACGTTCGTCCAATTAAAATTTCACTTGCCACAAACATGTCACTATTGTGTCGTGCAATGCTACAATGTTGCTACATACATACATAAATACATTTGCTCAATATTAACATGTTACCGCTGCTGTAATTTTTTTTTTGTGTTGACATTTTTTTGTTCATAAATATTTCGCTTGCCACTTTTCGACTGCCACACTCGACTTGTATGCACATTTTTCTCCACAAAAAAAAAAACACTGGTATGTCCTTAAATTTTTTCTTGCCTTTATGCTTTTTGTTGCTGCTGCCTGTTACTGATGGCCATGCTATTGAATTGTTGCGTTTTAAAGTTTTTATACATAAACCCAAAAAAAAAAAAAGCCAACAAAGTTATAAATCGTTCAAACATTATTCTGAAAAGTTTAAAATTCCAACAGCTGCTCTTAAAAAGCCGGTGGCAAATTACGACGTTGTGGAAACGCTGCTTTAATGGCTTAATGGCCGGCGAACTGCTTTTGTTATGTTGCCTGATTTTTTTTTTTGTTTTTGTTTTTTGTTTTTTGTGCAATATGAACATCATTTAGGTTCCATAACTTTCTTTGCATATTTGAGCAGTTTGAAAATACATTAAAGCTTTTATGCAGTTCAACCCAATACTTTTGAAAACTTTGTTAAGTTGCTGGAAAAGTTACATTTACATGCCGTTTAAACGAGTCAGAAGTGCCGGGTTAGACCGGTTTGGGAGCTAACTAAGTTGGGATGGCGAAACTTGAACTCAACTCACTAATAGTCAGGGCTTTTGCTTTTACCATCGCTTTCTAAAATTACGGTCGAGATACAAGGTGTTGCAATGTGGATTGATTAATCTTTTGCGAGTTACCAAAACTTTTCCACATATGATCACCAGTAGTCGAAGGAAACTTTTAGAAGAAAACACTTGCGAACGAGTCCATCAAACGAAAACGAACGAAACATGCTTGAGGAAAGAATTTTTGGGTCTCTTAGTTGTTTGTACAGGTGCCACCTTGCTTCCTTAAGAAGCGTATACCCATACAAAAAATAGCTATTCTAACTATTGAAGGGATTTCTTTAATGACTCGAATTAGTGTCTCAACGATTCCCTCTTTTGCTGTCTAAGAAATTTTCGGTTGGAGCAGCCTCTCTCCTCATTTCACTGATACGACCTTTTTGCTCTGTTGAAAGAGCTTTCTGAAAAGTTTTCACCTTAAATGCAGTCCGCTGTTTCCACTAGCAAGCCTGACACTTCACTGGGTGTATCACCCAACCGGTCGTACATTAAGCTATAGGAAATTTTGTTCAAGCGGAGTTAAGTTCGAATGTAGATGTAGCGCTATTAAAATTAGGATTTAGGTAGGATTTTCTTTGATTATTTTTCGAAACACACAATACAACAGTGTCAGCTTTATTAATTTGAATTTTAAGGCCACATTTCATGCTTTTATTGTAGCACCTCCAGCGAAAACAGAAACAAACCCTGAAGCTTGCACTGAATACAAAATCTTTTGATCTAACCTGAACCTCACAGTACATATTTTCAATTAGTGTAAGTACTTCGTTTCGATAAGAATCTTCAATTATGTGCAATATTTAACCACAAGGAAACATGCACAAATACACATACCGATATGTATAGGTACACTAGGGTGGCTTAAAAAAAAAGTAAAGTCGGAATTTTAATGCTCTCATAACCTAGGGTTGCTCTATGCCGAAAAATATACCCCTCTTTTTTCATTTTGCACAAAAAATTTTAGAGGTCGCTCAAAGCGTTCAAGGTTTTCCATACTAAAATATAGAAAAAAAAAAACAATTAGAGAGTTGCCGCCTGTTTCAAAATTTCAGTTTAAATAAATTAATAAGATAAACTAAAGATTTCAATCAATATGGCTGTCAAAAGAGATTTAAGAAGTCGCACAGTTGAAATTATTTTTTGTGGAAAGTTGCCACCCATTTGAAAATGTTCATTTGATTTAATTGATATGATAAATGAAATATTACAATACGGGTATCAAACTAAAGAGTTTTAAGAAATTTTACTGCCGAGAACATTTTTGTAGCGGGTTGCCACTTATTTGAAAATTTTTATTCAGTTAAAGTGATAAGATAAGGTAAATACTTAATTAAGACACCTTTGAAGAAAGTGCACGATGTGTAGGATCGATTTATAAGAATATAAATAAAATTTCGAGTATTAAATACCTTCGAAAATATATTAGCTAATATATATGTTTCATAAATCAAATATTTTTGAAAATCTCACTGCATAAAGGCACTTCAAATCTATTTTATTTTTTTATGAAAGAAGCCATAAGGATTTTCGGATGGAGTACCAACGCAATGCTAGCGGGTAAGAGCAATAAAAATTCGAATTTACTTTTTCACATGCATTTTTGGGCCACCTTAATGTGCACACATATGTAGGTGCAAATGTAGCAGGAGTATGTGCATATCACTCATACGCCATGGTGTAATGAATTTATTTATTATATATTTTGTTGTGTGCAGCTAATATAAATATTTACCAAAGAGAAAAGCGGAAATTGTTCTATTTAAAATTTTAGCATTCTTATTAAATGCATTCTTATTAAATACTTATAAAATTGTAGGAATATTCAAAATATTTTAGAAACGAAGTTTTAAGTTCTAGTGATGGAAATTGTGCTCAAAACATAAATTGTGATAGTTCAACAAATAACAAAAAACTAAAACTAAAAAAAAGCAACATGCGCGCACAAAACCTAAACCACATTAAGCGTCTTCGCTCGACCACCTACAAAACAGATCCCTCAACACTAAAAGACATCGACTGGTTCATTTTCACATTAAAAGCATTCGGCATATTGCCTTGCTACAATGTCCGCAATCAATATGAAATCACAACGCCCAGCAGTTGTCAAAAGGCCTACACCCAGTTTGTGCTGCTCATCAAAGCGGCTATAATTGCTTTGCACATTTACACACTGACTGCACCAGCGCTGTTCTGGAGCTTATTCACCAACCTACGCTCATACAGCATTAATCAACTCTTGGATTTATTTTTATGTGTAATGGATTTCATTGTTGTATCTTTTTTGGGTGTACGCAAAACTAATAAGCTTATTGAAATATTGAATAAAATACTAAAATTGGATAAATCACTGGCGCGCAATAATACGCCGCAGCATGTGCGATGGGAGAGCGTTTCGTATTTCCACAACAAATATTTACTTATGACTGTGCCGTATTTATGTGCAAACGCGTGTATGTACGTGGGATTTTTTCACATGGAATACATTCTTACCTATTTAGCGATTGGCATTTATGTCTTCTATACAATAATGTGTAGTTTGTTTTTTATATTCATCTCAACACTGTTGCATTTGATAACGATACGCATTCGCCAATTCAATTTGTTGGTGGTAAGCTTATAACAGTGAAAACGGCAAGCCTCAATTTGTGCGAAACAATGCCTTAAATACTAGTGGTATATTTGAAAATGTTGACGATGAAAACTTTTCGAAACTTTTATACATTTATCGCACTCGCACGGAGTTGGTGGAGATTTTTGAAGCCTTAAATGATTATGCCAGTTTCGCTGTGCTAATTCACTTCGGCTTCGTATTTTATTCGACCATCTCAACTGGTTATTATTTGTATTTATTTAAATGGTATGAAAGAGAATTTAACTGGATGGAATTTTTTTGGATTACCACAACTTTGACGTACTTTTTAACTCATCTCGCCCTCTTAACGCGTTGTTGCGATGCAGCTGCCAATGAGGTAAGCATTTTTTTTGCGACAAGCTTTTGATTAGGGTTCCGCTCGCGTGATGTGCATACATACATACATACCTATGTATGTATATGGGGGGTTCCATACCAAAACGGACGCGGTTCACAATTCATGTGTTTGATTTGTTTCAAATTTTAAGGGTTGATGAATAAACATAAATATTAATTAAGTATGAAATTTGAGCATCATTAATATACTTTTTAAAAATTTTAGAGCACAAAAAAAAAAATTGATTTTATAGTTTTGGAAATATTTCGAGAACGGAGCGAGGAAAAAATTAAAAAAAATCACACATACACACATTAAAATTCTCTGTGAAAAGAAATATTTCAAAAAAAAATATTTTCTTGAAAAAATATTCACATACAATTTTTTGATAAAAAAAAAGTTTTCGAAAAAATGCCATCTAAAAATAAAAAATTTTTTTCAATCACAATAGTAGCTCTGAGTATTGCGCAATATTTAAGTATAGTATTATGGGGTGCACTCCACAATAATTTGAGTAATGAATTTTTTTTTACACCGAAGTTGAGAAAAATGAGTACATTACAAATTTAAAAATTTTTTAATTTTTTTATAGAATTTTTTTATGTATGCAGTTTTGTAGCCCATTAAATTTTAGTATAATAAAGTGCACGTCTGGTTTTCAAACGAGTTAAATGAGTTAACGGGTTAAATTTTCCAACAACAATTGCATGCGATTTAGCTTGTTGATATACACATTTTGTTCATTTAACTTGTTTAAGCCCATTTAACATGTTTAACTCGTCAATTTGAACGTGGTATTATCTTTTAAGATTGAAAGCGTTTTTCTGTCTTTCGAAAGACTAATTGAAAGAAGCAATAAGTTTTCTAAAAATTAAGTGAATAGACAAATTCTTTTTAAAGCAATAAAATTAAGAAAAAAGTTAACTAAATTAAAAAATAAATTAATTGAAAAAAGAAAAAATTAATAAAATAAATTTCTAAAAATTATGAAAAAATAACAAAAATGTTTCTTTTAAAACAATAAAATCTAAAAATCAAAAAAAATTACATACAGTATCGGTCATATCTATAGCGCGCCAATACAAAGTGATATTGTGTAACCTCTAAATATGTTTATTTTTTATTCTTAAGAAATTTCGATTGGAATACAGTTCATTCTCTTACAAACCTCATATAAACCAAAGTTTAAAAATTTGTAAAAAAACCACAAAAAATACAATAAATATTAAAACAAATTCCAAACTGTTTTTCTCGTAAGTGTTAGAATTTTTTTCAGTACACAGTCTTATAGCGCATTCAATTTTAGTCTGATTGATTATTTTTTTTTTTTTTGATCTTAATACGGGTGTCAGACGAAAAAAGTTTTAAAAGGTTTTGTTTGTTCAATACGAAGGCTCTGGACTGATCCTTTTTTTGCTGAACCAGGGGCCATTTAAATGCTATGCAAACCTAAAAAAAACTTTTTAAAATTTTTACTTTTTCAGTTTTTTTTAGCACTTTGACATACAAGCGTCACGTAATGCCAGTTTGGAAATACCCATATGCAAGCACTTCATCATTAAGACTGGGGACTTACTTCATTAGTTATTCCCATTTAAAAATAGGTTTTGACATTCCTTTTCAAATTTAAATGATTTTCTTATAAATACATATCAAGTTGTTGTCAACTTATAGTCTTACATACATACATAAGTATATTTGTTCTCTCTTTTCAGGCAAATAAAACAAAGCAGCTAATTGCTCGTATCCAGTTGAAGAACGCAAGCCACCCAAATCACGTACGAGAAAATTATGCTAAAGAGAAGGTAAAATTTCTGTGAGAAATTAAATCTATTCTTTTTTCCTTTCAGATAGACAACTTTTTAGCGAAAACAATAAAACAAAAGATAGAATTCACCGCTTGTGGATTTATAGCAATTAACAACAACACCTTTTTTCAGGTAAGTTTTCGCAATTTTTCTATATTTGCAAAGTGCTTTTGCAATTATACCTATTAACCCTGGATTTGATGATATGTATGTATTTATATGTAAGTATAATCAAAAATAATATATATATAAACATACATATCTGTGTTCGTATGAAAAGTAGCTTATGTCGAAACGCTGGGGCTTTAGTATAATGCAGCATTCCCTTTATTCTTTAAACGACAATCAATATTTTGATGAGACTTAATGAGAATATTGACTTGCTCGTATTGGAACTATTTCTTGCACGTTTATTTGCCAAAAGTTCTTCAACGGCTCAGCGCCAGTGAGTCATTCGCATCGTATGCTGCGAATGCCGATTTATACTAAAGCCAGCCTTTCGGCATAAGCTACTTTTCCATACGAACACAGATATGTATCATATTTGTTCAGTTATTTATACACAACTGCAGTTTTAGTCTTAAGTCACATATGTAGAGTACCTGAGGTAGTTTTAAAGCCTTTTAATTTTTCTGACTATTTTTAGATGCTCTGCGGTGTAACGACATATCTGATCATACTTATTCAATTTAGGCAAGTGCAAGATGAGGGATCAATTATAGCATTACAAAATTATGCCGACGATTATTACGAGGACTATAACTACGAGGAATACCAGCAATGAATATGAACGAAAAATTTTACAACTTTATTGAATGTGGAGTAAATTTATAAACGGATCAAACCCATTTATTAAATCTAATGAACATCAATTCGGAAAAGTTAGCACTAAAGTGAATGCCCATTTTTCCCCCAAATATTCTTAAAATAGTCACATAAGGTTCTTTATGGGAATGTGGGTCCGTATCCAATTTTTGTATGTTACTTGCGCACTGATAAACAAATTTAATTAAAATAATGTAATAATAAAAAAATACATATTTTGCGCATAGTCGGCATGCATAGAATAATACAGGTAAGTGCGGCTGACGAATTGGCTAGGAAAGGTACCCTTGGAACATTATCATCACCTGTGGTATACTCTTGCTATGGGTCTCAAGTCAGCTCAGCGTGTGCTGGGCGAAAACCATGCGCGATTGCAAGGTCCTTCTGGCCGAGGGTGGACAGGAGTGGTCGAGGTCACTCATCACATTTACAAAGCCACAGCTCTTACTCTTGGTTGAGGTTTTAGCGGGTCACTATCTAATCGTAATTCACGCAGTAAGGCAGTTTCTGTGTTAAACAGACTACGAAGGAGCGTGTAGACATTACCGGCACCATGGGTACAACGTCAGTAAAGGCTTTTAATGCTTCGTTGGATTTTCCCGCCCCTCTGGAGTTAGCGATCCCAAAGGAGGCAATAAAAACGGTGGGTTGACGAACGGAGTTTCGGGCACAGAGAATTACTTAGATGGTTGGTAAAGCAATACCTTTCTTGGGAAGCTCGGTGTAAACTTTCTATACCGACGGCTCAAAGACTGAAAATGCTATTGGAGGTGGATGGCATCTGGACGGTAACTTCAGATGCTATACTGCTTTGGGTGCAATCGCAACGGTCTTTCAATCGGAAGTCTTTGCAATACAGAAAGTAGCAGACTGGATAACTGAAAAAAGCTTACGCGGACATCAAATCAGTATCCGCAATAACAGCCAAGCTGATCTAAAGGCCTTTGAGACCGCTCGCACCACGTCAAAGTTAGTTCAGGAATGTAAGTTGAGGCTAAACTCTATTACAAGTTAGAATGTGCTTGCACTTGTGTGGGTGTCAGTACTCTACGGCGTTCAAAGCAAGGATACGGTTAATGAATTGGCGAACTGTGGTTCTCTAGAGCGACTAATTGGACCACAGCCATGTTTAGGGCCAAGCATAGCGAGAACGATCGGGTCCATCAAGGGTCTCATAAATAAAACGCATGCGAGCCATTGGTGTCGAATTGACAGCTGCAAAACAACCAAGTGTTTCCTAAAAAGGCCTGACAGGGTGGTAGCAAAATTCCTTCTCAGACAATGACGGAGTAATCTACGAGCCCTACGAGCCTTCGTCCGACTTAGATGGTACATTTTTCGGTCGGATGTATTGAGAAGGGACGATATACATTCTGTTTCCCTCAACAAACAGCTAAGATTCACAAAGCAGTCTGATAAGTTTGCAGAGGAGCAATGAATTGCCAACCCACCTATATATGCCTTTCTTCTAAATCCTCTCTCGAGACCCTAAGCACAATGGCCAATAATGTCTGAGTGCTTGGAAATTCCATTCCATTCCGTGACTGTTGGTACATATGTAAATATATACACGTGCGCACCGGATATGCACGCCTATGTGCACAAAACTTCAAATAATGCTAATTAATTTGAAGTTTTTATTGCTCCTCTTTCAAGAGTTTCTAACTGAATGGATAGTTTTTGCCCTTTTGTGCCACGTACTAAACGTTTTTATTGCAGTTTTTGCATAGTTAATGTCAACATGAAAACTCGATGCGTATTTCTACTGAAATATGTACGTACATATACCCCCGCGGACCACTTTTCAATTAAAATTCCAACTCCAATGTGCATGGCGCTCCTGTCGTACACCTTTTGACATGGTGTGGAAATGACACAACAACTACAATTGTAATATGTTGATGGCATAACGTGTCATTGTTGACACCCAACTGGCAGCTGATGCCCTCCTGCTCGTTGAACTGACCGACTGCTTCGAACTTGTTTTTTTTTTTTGTTTAGTTGCCAATAAAAAAGATAAACATTTTGCACTCAGCCAATTTGAAATGCGTTATTGTTTTTTGCCAGACAATGCATACGCAACAATTTCGATGCAATATTTGCAATTCCGATGGCATTTCACACACATACCTTTATGTCGATTCGTATATCCTGCACAGCGGCATTGGAAGTTGAGGATGTGCACAAGGCATAAAAAATAGTATGCAAGTTTTTTTTTTAATTTAAACATGAAATATCGTTTTTGCATGAATCGGTTTTTATTTGAGACAGAAATTCAAAAGTAGTGTTCGAAAAAGTGAAACTGCTCGTAAACTTCATTAAAACAATAGCCGTAGAAAGTATATTTCTGGCTGAAATTTTCTTGACCAAACCGCAATTGTGCGGATTCACTCATTAGTAAACTTCAAAACCCTTGTCCAAAAAACTAAAAAAACAAATGTAAACAAAACTATCTTCCTCGCTTCCCCTTCCAAACTCTAACCACTGACGACCTGCAAAAAGGGGTAAAACAAACTCATTTTGAGTAAAGCAACCAACTTCAATGGCTTCAGTCGTGGCTTTCGCATCGACATCTTAGTCGGTTTGTCGGTTTCCGTTCTATCAATGAAAGGATAGCAGAAGCTGGCAACATACCAGCTTAGTTTGGCTTATGCATTATAACGTAAAATAACCGTGAAGCAAGAAGTATGCCGCCAACAACAATGCGAATAACAACCAACTAACCCAGAAGATCGAAACCAACGGCGAAGTAAAGTTTCTGCGGTTTTGTTAACACATTTCTTGGCAAGGGATAGGAGCTGGAGAAATGTAGAAGGAAATGCGTTGAAATGTGAGAAGATTTTTGTTGAATTTTGTTGTTTGTGTGTACATATTTGCATGCGTTTACTTGTGTTTGCTGTTAAACTTTAATTTGGAATTCGATAGTGAAATGAAGTTCGCTTTTATACCCCCAAAAAAATTTAGTGGTTACAAGGCAGACTCGGGAAAGTTTGTGGCTTGATAAGATTTTCGATATTTCATTATTATTCGTACATTAGGGTGCATCAACAAAAATGTTGCGGTTTTTAGACCAGATTTATAAAACTTCAATATTCGTTTGAGGGCATTTCTGAGGAAAAAATGTTTTAAAAAAAACAACAATAATTGACACATGGTAGAACGGCCTAAAGCTCAATAATTTCAATTAATTTTAATTTCTTAAGCTTAAACACTTTTATCATCTGAGGTAATTTTTTAAAAAAAACATTTTTAAAAACTCATCCTTCCTACCATCATTTCTACTAATATTATATTTGCCGTTTAATGTACAAAACCGCATATCAACATAATGCAATATTCAACAATTTGAGGTCGTTTCTAAGGAAAAAAATTAAAAAAAAAACAACAATAATTTTTTTGCAGAACGACGATAAGCGGTTTTGTACTTTACACGACAAAATATGACGCTTTCTTAGGGCGTGAGTGTGTATGCTTGGATTAACATATAGGATATATTTGAAGCGGGTTGCCACCTTTTTCAAAAGTTAATGTCAACTATTTATTTAGTTAGATCAAATATGACAACAATGTAGGTGTCAACAAAAGGGGTTTAAAAACGATTTATTTCAAAAATAGTTTTGAACAGAGTTGCCAACTTTTCATAAACTTAAAATCAATTTAATTAACAATTGATAGCAAATATTTTAGTATGAGTGCTTAATGAGAGTGGTTTAAGACAAATTTATTTCTAAATATTTTTGTATGGGGTTGCCACCTGTTAAGAAATTCAAAATCAATTTATTTAAAATATTAAACGAAATATTTCAATATGGGTATCAAACGAGAGAGGGTTAAGAAAGCTTTCTTTTGAAAATATTTTTGAGGAGAGTTGCCACTTGTTTAGAAATTTAAAATTTGTTTTAATCATCAAGTTAAATGAAATACTTAAATATAGCTGTCAAACGGGAGAGGTTTTAGTAAGCTTTGTTTCTAAAATACTCTTGAAGGCGTTGCCACCGGATCAAAATGAGTTTAATTTTTAAGTTAACTGAAACCTTTCAATCTATGTAGATAGGTATTATTTGTTTGCATAAGCCTCGCATCTGCAGATACTTTTTAATAGGAAAAACTAACCACAAATCAGTAGTGCTATCATTTTTTCTAACTAAAGGGGACTAATGTGCTCCTTTCCTGGCCAGAGGTGCCTATGCTCCGCTCCTTTTTGTGTGAAACAGTCACACACCCCAGAAGGATGTTTAACGAAAACTCCTTGGCAGCGTCACAAAAGCGACATACTTAAGTCGCTTACCAAATTCCTAAATTGTAGAGGTGGTCTCTTAACCTCTCAAATAAAAGGACTGCGGTCCCATTGGGGTCGAGGCAGCTGCCAGTCTGGCTAGCGGGACAAGAGCTGTCTTTCTTGGTTTAATGTTCAAACCTACATCCGGAATCCTCTTGACAGTTTTTATCAAATGTTTTCAGTAGCAAGCTCGGACAAAGCGCACCGGTCATTGGATAGTAGGTTATTGATGATGTTTTTGGCTTTCCATTCTTTTTTTTTAAATAAATCATTATACCAAAAAAAGCAACACCAACTTTAAAGGCATGCTCTTCTTAGTCAGTTGTGGCTAGTTATCGTTCTACTATGTGTACAATGAAGCAGAAAATTCATGAATTCTCTTATACTCGCTCACCAGCAAGCATTCAAGTTATTGAAGCTTTAAGGTGTAGATGCTTCCAAGATTCTTAGCAGCGCATTTACTTTCCAGCCTATCGCTTACATACAGACATTTGGTTGTCGGAGAGCGAGAGACTGGCCTGGTGAATATTCAAACATCTGGTGAATATCTGGTGGAAAGCCAACATAAGCATAATTTGAGGCATATACTTATATGTATGTATGTATGATGTATGCTCACTATATCTCAACAGCCAATTGACTTACAAATCAAGATTCGATTGGAATTAGGAAGTAGACGA